ACAGGAAACCGCTTCTGCCGAAACCCGGGATCGAACCAGGGACCTTTAGATCTTCAGTCTAACGCTCTCCCAACTGAGCTATTTCGGCTGCCGTGCTGCCCTTTCCCACCTGATCCCTCTAATGCAGTCCCTCCCCCTCCGCCCTGCCCCTCTCTGTTCCTGATGACTTAAATAAAATACGTGTTACTCGCCCTACGGCGCCAGACACCACAAATGAACCGATGACAACTCTTTGCAAAACGAATTATGCCGTAAGCTGAATGTAACAACAACACAGAACTATGTGCATACATTTATGCACAATACACAACCTACATGTGTTTAACGATAAGGATAAAGGTGTTTTGGCCGTGGCTTCCTGGATGATTTGGGGGGTAACAAGAACTACAGCATTCTGTGTATTAACTTCAGTTTTCACGAACTTTAGTCTGAAGCCTGACAAATTCTCTGCAGGGATGATGTACCACCAAGAGATGTGAATAGGAAAGGCATCTGCACACTCACTTTAACATGGTCTTGCTGGGAGATGCATGTTCACTGGGAGAAGCTCCATGTGTTTGTATAAGTCACAAATCCTGACTAAGCACAGGTATAAGAAAAAACAGTTTACGGCCCTACTGTTGATTAGGCATTTATTTGCACAGGTGACTGCTATCACACTCCTGTGGCTGCAGGCCAAAGGCAGGATGCAGCCGCAGGCTCACATTAGCACACATGCTGCACACTCACAGCTCAAGTCTGTGTTTATTTGCACATCCCCTGCCTCCAGGAAAAGCCACCTGTGAGAGTATCCCCTACTCACACTTCCTGCACACTGTGAGGGGGCAGATGTTGCTTTGCAAGACTGTTCACTGCTGCTCCCTCCTGTTAGTAAGAAAAACAGTCAGAGACCTCTTTCTCTCTTTCCCAGTAATAGAGGAATTTAATAAAGCCCTCCTTTTTCAAGTGGAGCAGCCTCATCCCAAGCCAGCCCTGTGAATATCTAGTGACATAACCCCTCACTATCACCTTTTATTTTCAGATGATTTTTCCTTAAGTTGTCCCACCTTTGGAAAAGTCTTTTGTGAGCAATCACTATTCTTCTTATATTTCAGAAGTCAAAATGCTGAGGACTGGGCCAGCAGTTTAGTGACTGAAACAAAAAAATCTAACAAAAATTTCAGTTAGGGAGAGGTTAAAAAACCCCACCTACACCATTGTATAAAGAGGTGTGCAAATAACATAGTGATAAAAAATCTCATCTTATCATGATTTTCCCTTGCCATTGGCCATGATGTTTTGCTGAGAAATGATGAATGTAATCCATTAACAAGCGTGTCTCTTACTTGATGCAGCTAACATAATCTTGTGATCTTTGGTGCTGATAAACTCCAAATGTGTCATGACATGCATAGAAGTCAAAACACTATAGACTTAAGAGCTTTCATACATTACCACAAAAATCAGAGTTCTATGGACCAACAGGTTATTCTGACTTCTATTATTTTTAGAAACCTTTGTTTTGCCAGGGGAAATGGAAAAGGCAGTGCAACTAAAAACTAAAAGTAATGCAAAACAAAAAGAGAAGAACAATTCAGTCTCAGATACAGCATATTTGATAAAATAGCTACCTTTTTGCCCAACAGAACTTGGGAGGGGTTTTGTATTAAAAGTTTGTGTTATAAAAGAATAGGGATCGGGGGGGGAACCCACAAACAGAACAAAAGAAAACCCAGTAACATGTTTTTTTACCCACAATCCTTCTCCTATACCTAGTAAAGTACAGGGTGGACAAACAACAGCTCTTTTCTAGTCCATCACATCATGACAATGTAAACCAGCCTCAACCACAGCTGACACCCCTTAATGCTAAGCAGCATACAAATGTAAGCAAGTGCCAAGTTCAGAGCAGAGAAATCCTTGGAGGAGTCCCCCCCCTTCTCCTCACCTCACCACAGACCCCACAGGCCACAACTCGCAGGGTAAGCTGTGGGTGCTCCATCCCTGGAAGGGTTCAAGGCTGGGTTATATGGCCCTTTAAGCAACCTGGCCTAGTGGAAGGTGTCCCTACCCATGGCAGGGGGGTTGGCACTAGATGATCTGTAAGATCCCTTCCAACACAAACCATTCTATAATTCTACGACTGCAGACAGCCCTGCCTCAGCTGCACACTTCAGTGTTTTCCAAATCCTTTCACTTGCCACTGGCAAGGGATGTACTGAACGGCAGGTGTGGTACATCAAGATAATGGGGTAGCAATGTTGGTTTTCCCAGAGGCACAAGGGATTTCATGAGCTGCTTCCCAAAGATCTGGTCCATCTCACAACAGTAACCCAAAAAAGAGATGCAAAACAACAGCTGTCCCCACATAACTTCCCCAGCCCATGACAGAAGCTGGATCAAAACCCTTTGCCAAAGGCCAGCCCTTCTCCCTTAGAAAGTTTTAGCAATTTAAGTGACATATGCATTTACACCATTTGTTTTCTTACTGGTGTAACTTCACTTTGTTCTGTGACACAAATCTTGAGAGAAAGGGACTGAAAGATTGCAATGCTCACAGCATTTTACATCACTCCCCCTTTGCCTTCTGCAGAAATGCCTCCCAGTATAAACAGTGAGAAATAAAACCTAAAAGCATTACACTTCTCCACAGTGACAGTTCACTAGTTGATCCTTTGTCCCTTTCTTCCTACAGAAGCCAGAAGGTTAATGGCAAAATAAGTTGTTTTCTTTAACAGAAAAAAGACTTTTCCCTGTCAAAGAAATGCTCCTACCAGAGCACTCACCCTGCTAAGGAAACCTGATAGACAGCAAAGTACCTCAAAACAAAAGGCTTCTAGGTTTTTTTAAAAATAGGTATTTATATATTTTTAAATGTGCATTATGTATGTACTTATATAAATAAAAATAAAAAACACTGAATCAAAGTTCTCAAATACTTGGAAGGATTAAATCTTAAAAACACTTCAATCAACTGGAACAGCTTCCACTAAAAATTAATTGATCCTTTTGAAAATGCCACTCCCAACAATATCACTTGTTTGATAAGTCACATAAATATCAAAGTTTGCATCTTCAGCATCTAAACATTCAAAACAACTTTCAGAAGACCTATTCAATGAACCAATCACACACTACTGTTTTCTTCTGTGTATTTCTGCTAACACTTACCACAAGTTAATTGATTTTTACTGTTCCAAGAACACTGTACCTATTTTGAAGGCCTGAAATAAATTAAAGTTTATGTAGGTTTAAAATAATAATGTTTTAGTAATCTGTAATCTCTACTCCTAAAAACACATCACAACCAGTATTCCAGTATAAGCAGATGTGAAATACACATACTTACATGTGTCTCACCCAAAGCAGATGCCACAGTAGCCATAAATATAGCTAGAAGGGCTATTTCTGGTAGTGACTTTTGTGAAATACAACACAGGAAGAAGGATATTTTAAGGAAAGAAACACATTGCAAGGAAGCCATAGCGCAAGAAAAATACAAAATTCAAGAAAATATTTGAATGTCACCAGCAATAAGTTTCTGACAATGAAATTTAAGCGAGTCATCCGTAGCAGCCTGCCTGGTAAACCAAATGTGCTTACGGATCGATACACACTAAGTCCTCTAACTTCTGTCCTTCCCAAGTGGAGGCTTTGACTTCCAAACCAAGAATCAGAAACCCAAAAACCGTAATTGCAACATAATTCAAGTACAGTGTTATTATCCCAGTTTGTTACAGAAAATTCACCTTCAATAACACATTCCTAGACATTAGAACACACACCTGGCCCTACAGTAAGACTGGAAACTTACTGTTTAGCCTTCTTTTAGGATGACTCTTGCCAACCCAAAGTAGCATTTCATCAACAGCACCACACAGCACACAGAAGGTGTTATGAAGCACTTGTGTTTTAAGAGTTAACTCCTAGTTTCTGAGGCACTTTTGAAGTCACAGCAGATTCTGAGTATACCACAGCACCTCAGTCCTGTGCTCCTGCAGCTCTATCCAGGGGCCACAGAAAGATCTGCAACTATGCCAAGTACAAAAGGTCAAGTGATAAAACCAGGAGCAGACTCTTCTGCCACGTCACCTCAAAGCCAAAAAAAAGCGATGGTAATTTTTTCAGGACAGAGGAAGAGCTAAGAAATATTAAAAAACCCACCCCATCATGCACTTTTTCAGCATGTTTTCTTAATTAAAGACAAACCAGTTATGCCAGAACTTTTATTACTAAATCAACTTAGAGAAAGACTTCATTGACATGTTTCTAGAATTCTTCTTCCAAATTTTACATTAAAACTCAAACATTATTTTATCTTTGAAACATTTGTTACAGGAAAAAAAACCAAAACCTGTGAAACACTGCAATGAATAAGGTCTGTCAATCCACAATTCACAGAAAAAGAAGCATTTAAAATTTTTTTTCTCCATAAACAGCCTTCATATCACAGGAAATAAGCTCATGGGAATGTTAACTATGTTCCAGTATTTCCAGTTTGTTACAATTACAGTTAAGAAAAGGGAATTAACATGTAAAATTCAGTAATGCAGTAAAAAGAGGACAAAAGTTTAAGAAAACACTTCTGGAAATGTCAGCGAGAACACTTGCTACTTCTTGACACCTTTCCCCCCTTGCTCCCCTTAGAAAGTGCCAAGGGAATTTACAGAGTAGGTAACAGCTTAATCAGCCTCTACAGTAGCTAATACTGCACCAACAGAGAAATGGACAGACCTTATCTATAGCTTTTACCAACAGATTTATACCCTCAAAAAAATATAACATTTCTCCCCTTGATTAAAAATAAAACCTAACTCTTTGAAGTGATAAAAATAACATATTACGCTGTAAAAACAAACTAATACAGATGAATGATTCCAGAACTAAAACAAATTTGAGTCCCAAAAGCTGCAATTGCAATTAATTATTCTTAATTATTAAGGCAGATTTCAGTTCTGTGACACAAATTTACAGAATTATAAATAATCTTCACTCTGCACAGTTATTTAAAATCAGTAGAGTATTGCACCAAAAGCTGAAATGAACATGTTCAACATACAAAGTGCTGAAACCACTCCAAAGTTGTGCCACACTGTGGTTCTGTACTCGCCATGGTCCATGTCTCTTGAATACATTAAGAGTCCAGTGTGGACACTTGATTGCAGGCTTTGAAGAAAAGACTGTATGAGGTAGAAAAAAGTCCTTCAAGTTCTGTGCCACCCTATGGACCACTGAGCTGTGCAAATGGCTCTGTCACAGGAAAGGGCTCCAAAGCTTTCTCCACGTTTTTCCAGTTGTGAAAGTTTTCTTTGTACCATTCAACTAGTATGAAGAGAATGTTGATGAGTCAAACTGACCAGAGATAAAAGGGAAATTCAAATATTCCACAGACATCATGAGACTAATAACACACTAACAGTGTATTATGCAAAATTTTAACCTTTAATATTACAAAAATCTCATTTAAATTTTATAAATTCTTTATGTAAAACTTCTTCTAGCATCAAAAACTGATTAATTCTAATACATGATTTGGCACTTAGTGCCATGGTCTAGTAACCACGGTAGGGTTGAACTCTATGATCTTTGAGGTCTCTTCCAACCCAGTTGATTCTATGGTTGATTCTATGATGCAACTTCATTGAGATTAACCTTAAAAAACCCATATAAACTCACTACTTACAAAGCAGCCAATTTTATATAAAATTAAAGTGTTACGTTCATTTGGTTTAGCTTCTCATTAACGAACCAAATATACACGTATTCCCCCCTTTCCCTCCTCCCTCCTGTAAAAGCCATCAGTCCTACTTGTTTTCTTTATTCCTTCTTTCCAAGGCACTTTAGGTCTCCATCCTAAGCTGTGCATTTTTTCTGAACTCATTGGGTATCTCAGGTCATTCGTAGGCCTGATGAAGTATAAAAAGCACACAGAAAACAATTTGATTAGACTTTAATTAACTAGAGATGCAGTACCTCACATTGTCTTCAAAGGAACATTAGGTATGCTTCAATTTTGAAAATTCCCATCGACACGAAGGGACTACATTGCCCTCAAAAGGTATGTGGCAGCTGAGTGCAGCGACAACAACACAATTCAGTTTGTACAGTCAGCTACTGGGAACCGACCAGAATAAATATGAATTAATATTTTATTGGCACAAAAATGAATGCAAAACTCAAATCCCTGCCAACGCACTTGTGCAAATCGGTGCCTTTGCAGCTCTAGACAGTCACTACACAAGCCAGTGCTTTCCAGTATCAGCATTTACACTTTTCATCCTGAAAACCCACACATTAACACACACTTCAGATTTACAAACACACAGGCTTCCAAAGCACTGCCATCACAGTGCCCCACTAGCCACACAAACGTAGTAATACTGAGTATGTCAAGTCCCAGGCTGCAAGATTCCACACAGAATCAGGTATCTCACATTTAAGCACGGCACAAGTTTTCA